AGTCACCATCAATCGAGACTCAACCCTCGCGCAAGAGTACTAGCGGCAGCAGAAGATGTTGAGGGTTACGAGAACTGAGATCAAGAGATGCGTCTTCATCCTAGAGAGACTAAGCTAAACAAGGAGGTGACATTGTGTTAGGGGGATTGGACGGCGGAGGCGAAAAAGCTACCGACGATGACAGACAAAGTACTTCAACCTAAGCACTAGTCCTGAGACAGAACGAATCCTATGATCCAGTCCAGGCCTTGGTGAGAAGCTCTTCAATGCCTATGGGGCGGATATCTGGGTACTTTGCGTTCAGGCGGTTACCCTGGGGCACCAGGATCCTGCCCTCGACGCTCATCAACCCGAAGAGAGCGATCATCGCCTGCGTCTCTTCCATTGACGCCGGTCCTGCGCCGTAGCCCGCCGACCAGACGGTTGCCTGGCCGGTTCTCAATTTCTCCTCTCCGTCATAGACGACGTCAAACTTGACTCCTGGCAAGAAAATAGACCATGTCAGCGACACATGGTGACCATGGTAGCATTTTTGCCTCAAAGTCCCAAAAGCCGCACGTACCCGTGAGTTTCTCCGCGAGTCCCAGAATCTCGTTGAACGTGGTGTCTGAGCCACTGATGATGCTGACTTCGGGCCAGTCGGCGTCGTCGAGCATGCGGACGACGAAGCGGGCCACGTCTACCGAGTAGGTCAGGGTCATGAGCTCATTGCCTGTTCCGGGGATCGCGGCGCGGCGGTTCGCGATGTCGATGGCCCAGGTGTGAGTGGTGAGGTTGCTTGAGGTGTGCGGCATGCCAAAGTAGTCCATGAACCACCCGTTGATGACACGAGTGTATATGAGGCCAGTCTTTCTGAGAGCGGCGATTGCGTCCAGCCAGGCACCGAACACCGCCGCGTTCGTGTCGCTGGTTAGGTGTCAGTGACTCCGCGGCAACGAAGAGGGGAAGGTGCCTCGGGATAGAAGGAATATGCGTAGTCTGGAGACACCCAGACTCCGAACTCGCTGGGTACGAATCGATGGGTCGGCTTGGCCTTGTCGGCCGCGGCGATGAGGTTGAGCTGTGACTGAGCGGCCTCCGGGCCCACGAAACCAATCGTGGAGATGACTGCCTCGACATTGTGCTCCTCGAGCAGCAGAGACAGCGCCTCGATGTTGCCGTAGTCAGCAAGCACAATCTTTGCGCCACCTGAGGCGGGTGTGATAGGAGCCTAGATGGCTAGGTCAGAAGGGGGCTCAAGAGTGTATGCATGTGGTTGCGGCTGTGACATTTACCTTGCGACTAAGCAGGATCACCTCGTGCTTCTTGCTGAGTTGTAATTGTTCAACGATTGTCTTACCGACACCGCCCGTGCCTCCGGCGACTGCGACTACTACCATGATGGATGTGATGGCGGTTTAAGAGTTGCAGGAATTGGGTTGTGTGTTACTGAAGTTGTCAAGTACCATGGATAACAGCTGGATCCTTCAGCACAAGACCAGATCCAACACGGTTGTACTTATAGTTGACCATGAAAACATAAAGCAATCTTGGAGTCTCGGAGGCCTTCGCAGAAACCCGCCCCTGTGCGGATTTTTCAAGAATGCATTGACTTCAGGCTTAGGGGTAGCGGATCTCAAGTCAAGACACATGTGGCAAGTACTCGGCGGGTTAAAGATGTCTGTCTTTATCGAAAGAGGGAGCTCCGGAAAAAGCCGTCGTGTGGTGCAGAGAGTGCCATTTCCAACATCTCCTGCTGGATCTCGTTATACGAGTCGCATAGCATCATTCTACTTCGCTCGGATAACTAGAATCACATATTATCATTTCCTTTGAGGAAACAGACGACTGTGTAGATGATGGCGGTCTCAAGGCATTCTCACGACAAGTTCGATATACCAGCAGATTTCAATCAGGGCATGCAAGGTTGATGAGCCAAGTCCCTCCTCATGGGGATGGCATTTCATTCCGACATTCACGGTATCTCACTCGTAAGGTTTGAGAATGAGATTGAGATATGCTTTGGTCATGCGAACTTCATGCAAGCCCGGTGCGGAACAAGCCTGAAAGTGCCGTGGTTTCGTTGTTGTGATGCTTGGAGTTCAGGCTTAAACTCCGTTTAGTGAGTCAGCGAAAGATTTCACAGTCAAGAAGAAAACTCTCAGTGGGTAGAGGTAGTAGCGGACGATGAAATGTGGTGTGGGCGCCACCGGTCCATTCGAAGAACAGGAAGCCGGTCGGTCGTTTGATTCTACCTGGACGGCAGACGTTCGAGGTCCGGTCCCGCCGCCGCGAAATGCGCGCGGCGCTGATAGACGATAAGTACACGTGCAAGGTCATGTGATGGCGCGTTCAGCCTGCGTCTGGATCCCGGCGCGTCCGTCGCCGTGCCCCCCGCGGTCGCCCACTCGATGACGCACGACACCTTTCTGGCTTTTGATGCTGAATTCTTGGTCTTGAGACCCAATCATTTTGCATGCACACCACAGCTAGCTGCAGAGCGACCCGACCTCAAAAGTTATCCATCGACTTATTGGGATACAATTGAGGAGAAGTATTTTAAAATCATGCCAGCCCGTAAGCGTGCTGCGTCGCCGGCTGCTGAGGATGAGCCCCGGCGGCGGTCTCGGCGCGTCTCAAGCACTCCCAAGAAGAGCATGTATTTCGAGAGTGACGACGACGATGATGACTTTGATGGAGATGCGAAGGTCGAGGTTGACAGTGATGAGGTGCAGAGCGAAGGTGATGATGAAGAAGAGGAGGAGGAGCAACCCAAGAAGCGTGGACGTGGACGGCCAAAGGGTTCAGTCGCTAAACCTAAAGCTAAGCCACAGCCCGCGCCCAGCAAATCAAAAGCAGTGAAGAGGCAGAAGATTGAGAAGGTTGAGGATGAATATCAGGATGACCAACCTGAGGAAGATGAGGACGAAGAGGAAGATGGCGAGGAAGATTACGAGAGTAGGGTCACTATCATTCCGCATGAGAAGCTTCGAGGGCTTGATGGACAGGACTACTCCGACGACACCGTTCACAAGAACACTTTGTCGTTCTTGAAGGACCTCAAAGCTCACAACCAGAGATCTTGGCTCAAGAGTAGGCCCCACAAGGAAATCCTCTTGGTATTCTACGAATACTGATTTAGTCCAGGCCACGACGGCGAGTATAGACGCTCCCTAAAAGACTGGAACACCTTTGTCGAGACTATCACACCAAAGATCACCGAAGTGGATTTCACCATCCCAGAATTACCGGCCAAGGACCTCGTCTTTCGCATCCACCGCGATATTCGCTTCAGCAAGGACCCGACTCCTTACAAGGTACTTTGACATTCCCCATTGCCATCAGGTTGCTTGAAACTCGGTGGGAGAATGACACTAATTGTCAATAACTCACAGGCTCACTTCTCTGCGGCATGGTCTAGAACGGGTAAGAAGGGACCTTACGCCTGTTATTACATCCATCTTCAGCCAGGCTCTTGCTTTGTGGGCGGGGGCTTATGGTGTCCTGAGGCGTCGCACTTGCAGAAGTTGAGGGAGAGTATTGATGAGCGGCCGCGTCGGTGGCGTAGGGTCTTGAATGATGAGAGGTTCAAGAGAACTTTTTTGCCCAAATCGTTGCAAAAGGGGGGCGAGGAAGCGGCGTTGAAGGGATTTGCTGAGACGAATAAGGGGAATGCGCTAAAGACTAAGCCCAAGGTATGCCTATGTCGGATTTTTCGTCCTGCAATCTAACAAGGGCGAAGAGAAGACCACGGCCATTGTGGATCGTTACTAATCACGCTTTCGTAGGGCTACTTGGTCGATCACCGCGACATCGAGCTATTGAAGTTGCGCAACTTCACGATTAGCAAGAAGGTTGATGACAAGGTATTTACCGAGGACGATGCCCAAGAGCAGATTTGTGAGATCATTGCCGCGATGCACCCATTCGTAAGTAACCCTTTGCCGACTGATTGTCGTTTGGATGATGGATGTGCTGACACATGATGCAGATCACCTTCTTGAACAGCATTGTCATGCCGGACTTCAATGCAGACGACGACGATGATGATAGCGACGAAGATGAAGAGGACGAGAATGGCGACGCGAATGATGATGCTCAAGAAAACGGCGATGCAGAGGAGACAGGGGATGAAGACGAGGAAGGAGGTAAGGACTGGAGCACGCACAAGTTCTGATACTTGGTTGGGATAGAACACCCTCTCTTCCTTCTGGCACACCACACCTACTCGAAGGATATTGCTATTGTTCAAGCTGGCGCGAAGCCATTGATTGGAAGCAAAGACAGCCCGGTGGGAACGAGTTCTAGCTGGATGATGAGCGATGATGGCATTTCGTGTTGATAGTTTAGCACGAGCGTAAGTGCTTGTAGGATATGAAACAGGCGCAGGACACTCCTGTGCGGTCTCTGCTGGCGTCGACTACAACAAGAAGGATTGCACTGATTGTGATACTCCCTTGTTCGTCCTATAGTTTCTACAACCTTTGATCGTGAAGTCTACTCAAGTGCTCAGCCCGACTTGGAAGATCCGTTCATCCTACGCCAATAAAGGGGGACGGTATCCCTTTGTTACCTGAAGTACAACCATCCATCAGAAAACCTGATGAAAGGATATATCCTCGGAATCTGTTGCTGGCATGTTTCGGGGAACGGCTAATGGTTGTTTGACACACAGCTTTCGAGGTTTCAAGTCTTTAACATTTCAATCTAACATCATCTCTGAGTATGCATTGAGTCTTTCACGCTATGTAGGGAGCACAATAAGCCATCAGCTTAGATCTAGAGAGTCGTAAAGACTTGACCAAGCTTCTGGTCCCTGAATATATGGCTTCAGAAGGTCCTCGGCTGAGGCTACTTAACCAGAGGGATCAAAGCCACCAGACAGTTTCTACTTATCCTCATCAACAACATCAAATAATTTCATTAGCACATTGTTAAACTCACCGAGCCATTTTCTGACCCGCCACTCTAGTGTTTCGTTTCGACCCCTGCTGCCAACTTTCCTCAAACTTTTCATCATCATGACTATCGGTGCCGTCAACGCTTTGGTCGACTTTTGCAAGTGGGCTGCTGCCAAGCGGCCAGACGGCTCCAACCGTCAGTACGAGTATGGAGATTGCCACAACACAAGATGCCATTGGTCCATGGACTACAGCAAGGATAAGTGCCACTGCTTCGACCCTGTTGAGGAGGTCCCGAAGGATATCGCTGAGAAGGATGCTGGTGAGGATGCAGAGAAGTAGACAGTAAGTTTGGAAGACAGGTACTGCCGAATCAAGGTTTTGTGTTTCTTTACTTGACTATCAGTTTTGCATTGGCATGGAGTTGCACCAAAAAGCCTGCGATTGAAAATGTCCTAGATAAATGAATAAAGATGTCATTGCTTCATAGCTAAGTTGAGGTACGCCGTGAGTTAAGTGAGCCTGAACGAACAATCGTACTTATCTTTTGAGACTAGTGCTTGAACATTTCTTGTGAGACTGATTATCATAGGATATTGCCTGACTCGATCCCGTTCAACCCGGGAAGCAATACCTTTGGACTGCATTCGCAGGCCGCCATAGCCAGGTTCTTGTTGGTAACTTGTGCCATGCTTGGACTCGGAGCTTCAACCCATTGAACAGTGACTTAAATTCCAATCAAGTTCTAGAACAGCTTTGGGAAGCCAGAAGCAACAGTTGAGAGCTCTCAAAAAGAACGGAAAACGCGTGAAATGCATTTTTTCTTTCCAATCATTAGACGTCCACGAGGTTCAAAGCATCTTTGGAGACTGCAGGATCACATGACATATTGTTTCGGCCAGTCACTACGATTGGCCAAGCCGGATCACGGCGCCGAGCAGTGCCGGTGGTCCTCAGGGGAGTGATGACTCCACAGGGTTGAAGCTGGTTGGCCTAGGAGAAGTGGCTCGTGCTTCCAGCGTTTGTGCGGGACATCCCAAAGCTCACTGTTCAGAGAGGTCCGGCCAGCAATACCTTAGGCAAGGTACCTTGAACTCGGGTCATCTTCTCCAACCATGTGCCTTGCCAGACCCAAACTTTGATAAGCAAGACTTGAAAAGCCGAGTGAAAACTCTTCAATGCTTGAGTGAATTTGTTTTTTCTCCTTTGTTTACCAGCATGCTGCATAATACCTGTGTTCAAGTCCAGTTTTCAGGGTCGGTTCCACGGGCTCTTGAGTGAAACTACGTCAGCGGGGCCCAGTCCACCTAAGGTAGGTAGGCTCACGCGCACCCGAAGAGTACGTACCGGAGACACCCCGCGGAGCTGAGCTTGGAGGGCGCCCTCCCTGCCCCACCAAGACTGCCTCGTCCGTCCCTCATTCACTCACTTCATGCACATTCCATCCCGAGCCCGACCCGGAGCCCGATCTTGACGACGGACTACATATCTATCATTCGCATCGTTTTCGACAATCTGAACAGCCTCACTAGCGACGACCAACTACCTTAGCTCCGGGCTCCCGCATCTGCCACCCTCATCCTTATATCCTCAGGCGGACACTCCTCCGCTAAGTAGCGGCGACCTCACCTCTCGACCCCTCCTCCGGCCAGCCACCTGGGTTGAGCCGCAACACCACAGCTACATACCAGTCCTTGCTTGCTTAAGGACTACTGCCCTTTGAATTCAAGATACCTCACTGTATTGTACGCCGGGCATCATGTTCTCTCAGGTACGCGCGCCCCCTCATCTCTAGCTCTCCGCAGTATCGGGTGGTTACAGCCGCACGGGGGCTTTCGGTGAGGCTAGATGGATTGATAGTGGATGCTCAAGAGCTACGTTGTCTTGTGATGATGCCTATTCAACACCCTCCGGAAGCTTCATGTAGCCTCAAAAGAGCTATGTTACCTGTAGAGTACACAGGAACTGACACCAAGGACAGAAGAAACCATATTCCGCCGTTACGGTGAGCATTGAGACGCTGACCGCCGAGACATACGATGAAGATGACATGAGTGGCATCCCAGACCTTGTGGAAGTCATCAAGCTGCAAGCTTCGGGCCCCGTAGAGGCTGCCCGCGCCATTCGCAAGAAGCTCAAGTACGGCAACGTCCATCGCCAGCTCAGAGCTTTGACCATCCTGGACGGCTTGATCCAAAACGCTGGCCCACGTTTCCAACGAGCTTTCGCCGACGAGCCCCTGTTGGAACGACTGAGGGTCTGCGGAACCTCTGATCTCTCTGATCCCGACGTCAGAAAGAAGTGTACCGAGTTGTTCCGCAGCTGGGCTCAGTACAAGAGCACGCCAGGCTTGGAGCGTATTGCGAAACTGCACCAGGTACAGCCGACGTTCTTACTCGCCGATGCCAACTAATTTCTTTTAGGAACTACCCAAGCGCAAGGTTGCTGTGACTCAGGAGCGATCCAAAGCTGTGCGGGAGACTGAGAATCCTTTCGGGGAAGAGGAAGAGGACAAGCCTCCTTCGCCCACCACCCGTGCGGGCGAGTCATCCAGACCTCAGCAAACGCCGTACCTGCCTTATGGCAACACATCCAATGTCACCAACTCCTTTAGCCACTCCAAATCCTCTTCCCATTCTGGCGGCTCCTTCTTCGGGTCGTCAAAGGATAAGAAGAAGAAGGACAAGGACAAGAAGAGCAAGCGCAAACCCTTCAACCTGGAACTGGAAAAGGACGCAATGAAGAGCGCGATTGCTGAAAGTTCCATCGCCACAACCAACCTGACCAACCACCTGCAGAGCATCAACCGTGAGAGGGAACGGATCTCTGATAACGCCCAAGCTGTCCAGCAGTTCGAAAGCTGCAAACAGCTTAGACGAAAGATCCTTCGTTATGTAAGTCACGTTCGCGCCTCGCCGCCTGATTCTTTTCTCTGACTAGTTGCCACAGATCCACCACATTGAATCCGAAGAGTGGCTCGGCAGTCTCCTTCGCGCCAACGACGAGCTTGTCACGGCGCTCATGACGTTTGAGCAGCTCGACCGCTCGATCGACGCCGACAGTGACTCCGACGATGAACTTGCCGAGCAAGCTCACATGTACCGAAGTAAGCGTCCACGTATTCCTATCAATTCTCAAGAGCTCTACTAATAAATTTACAGTGGTGACGGAAAAGGCCAAGCAATCCATGTCTCCGCCTCCCCCTGATGTTTCTGGTCTGAGCATCGGCAACACTCCGTCCTCCCGTCCGCCTGCTCCACCCCGACCGGTCCCGATGGCGAGGCGTTCCCCGCCCGCACCGGCTCCGGCGAAGCCCCCGAGACCTCCTGTCCAGAAGGTTGTTGAGCCTGACTCGGAGGAGGAGGAAGACGACGATGACCCTTTTGCCGACAAGAACGCCCTGGAGACGCCCGCGATCGAAAGAGCAGAGCCGAGATGGTGATACCAAACCGTCATAACTATTACCCATCATACTTTTCTATCTTCTTTGTGCTTTCCCCCCTCTCAGTCAAGGATATTCTGTGATGATGAGGGATTGAATAAGTGGTCGAGAGACTGCATCAGGTGCAAGTTGAAAACCTCAAGTCATCTAGCAAAGCGCCCCGTTTAGACATTTTCATTGATGAATGATTCAAGAGCATACATATCTACTATTTCGGTGCTATTAATAATGCGCACTACTATAGAGTACATAACGTTCCCCTTTCCAAATATCCGAAATCGGTCACCGACTTCCCGCCGTTGGTACCGACTCGGCCTCAACTCCCCTTTGGGAACAGCGCCCGGGCCCCCAACGTCCCCGCCGAGCGCCATTCCGGGAGCTATCGCCCGACGTGCCCCCGCCGGAGATGCCACGATCCCGCAATCCCCTCGGCGGCATGTGTTCAATTATTGCATCCTGTCAAAGCTCCCCCTCGCGGTAGAGCTCTCTTCGATGTCCAATGGGATCCTCTCTCGCGGGGCACGGGTTTCCTCTCACAAGCTCGGCCGAAGCTCTTGCTACTACATCTCGTGGATAAGACGCAAAACAAAGTTGTGACCCCGCGGTTCGATGTGACGTAAAATCAGGGCCCCGACGTTGCACCGCAGTGGGATTTATTGAATCCCTTTCGATTATCGATAAGCTCGGGCTACATTTTGGTAACGTCTTCCGCGACTCGCGCAACGGCATGTGGAGCGGAGGGCCCGATGGTAACGCGTGCGGATGGTGCATCGAAAGTGAGATGTGACATGGAATAAGATGAGAAGGTTCCCTTTTCGGGAGGGGCCTGTAAGAAGAATTCCCGTGAGGCCATCGCGACTCGCGAGGGATGTTCCTGCATGTCATTTACAAGGATGGCGGAGAGAATATTGGCAGTGATTCTAATCCCGCACGCTCAACCCGCCATCGCCGACCCGGGGGCAGCAAGAATGACCGTCAGACATCCTCCGTCTAAGACATCTATATGAGCGAGCTCTCCTCCTCCAATGCCATGATCTTGTCTCTTCAGCCTCCAGCAAGCGTAGGTCACTCACTCATTCCCTCCCCGAAAGTCCGCCAAGATGCTCGCCCTCCTCGCCCTGGCCGTGGCCATGGTCACCGGCGCCCACGCCGCCGCCAACACAACCACCACGCTCACCCCTGTCCTGCGGCCCGAGTGCAACAAGACGGACCCGGCCAACCTCGTTCCGTCCAACGACATCACTCTCAACTACGGCGCCGCCGACGACGTGAGCCTCGTCAGCGTCGTCCTGGCCATGAAGTACCCCTCGGTCGTCCTCGAGGAGGTCGCGGCCATTGCGAGCGTCGAGTGCGCTGAGGACGCGAGCATCACCGTCACCTTCAACGTCACGGCCGCCTTTGAGCAGACGTCTCAGCAGTGGCAGGCGCTCGACGACTTTGTCATGGTCACGAATCACCTGGGTAACTGCGATGCCGAGAACGAGCGCGGCTTCTTCTTGGTTGACACCGTTACCTGGGACGCCGAGACTCTTCAGGTTGTTGCGAACGCTCACAAGAGCGACGTTGCCAACACGGCTAGTAAGTCTTTGTCTCACGCCTTACACAAAGACATGTGCTAACCACCTTGACCAGCATCTACGGAGATTTCCTTCTCCAACGTCCCTGTTCAGAATCCCGCCAGCAAGCGTGACATCAAGTGGGACGACGGCGGCGTTCACATCACGAACACGCTCGCCCTCCCCGCCGACACGAACCTCTTCACCTACGACCCGTACCTCTCCGTCACCGCCGACGAGGCCTCCCTGACGTCCAACATGACCTTCTCCGGCACGCTCAAGTACAGCATCATCCCCCTCAAGGTTGAGCAACTCGCCCTCGACATCGACACCACCTTTGACGC